GAGGTCCTTGTGTTTTGCTTAGCTTAGCTTGTTCTAAGTAGGTGCTCTAGACCACTGAGCCATCTCACCAGCCCCTGCTTGCCACCTTGTGTCTGAAGGGTCTGCACTGGGCCCTCACAGTGAGGATCTCCCCGTCTATCTAGAGGTGGTTTGCAGTGGATCTGAGGCATTTGAGGGGGCCTTGTGTGGCATGAGCTGCGGACATAGCTGTCTTCCCTGTATCTTGCTGCACGCTTCCTCCAGGAACCCCCCCTGGCTGAGCCCCACTGTAGCTGTGAAGATGTGATTCATCCATGTGGCTGCCTATAGCTCCCTTGAGTGGTCAAGTGTACATAAGTCCTGCCTTCCTCCTCAGTATGGGTTCCCTGAAGGCAAGGCTGTGTCCCTCCTCCAACTGCAGGTCCCTGAGAGAAGGGACATGCCTGTCTCCTCAAACTGAAGGCTTCTGAAAGCAGACTGCTTTGTCTCTGCTCAGAACAAGGGGCTCCTGAATGCAAGGTCATGTCTCCCCAACCCTAAGACCTGTGACTTGGCTTGTGCCGTTTTACACAGAGACTTCTGGGAGTAGGGCCATGTCTATCTCAGATTGACATGAGGGCCGCTGTGGGCAAGACTGTTGTCCCCTGCATTCTGCCACTGTCTCCTTCAGCATAAGACTCCTTTGGTGCTCAGCCCAGGGACACTGCACAGGGTGTGTGTGTGTGTGTGTGTGTGTGTGTGTGTGTGTGTGTGTTCAGGGAGGGGGTAGCCTCTCTTGGACTCTGCCAGCTTTCCAGTGCTGATGGCTGATCCCACCCAGCTAGAGGCTCAGGAGCAGCTGGGAAGCAGGCTCCCTGAATTGGGGGTATTAGGGGCTCCTTTCCTACAGGGTGAGGCCCTGGGACAGGGCTGGGGTCAGTCCCCCCTCCCTTCTCACCTCGTCCTGTGTGGTGAGGTACAGCAGCCCCAAGCACCAAGCCCCCACTGGGGCCATGACCGCCTCTCCCTGCAATAAGTGTGGAGACAGCAGCTATTAATATAAGATGAGTTCACGGGCTCGCAGCTTCTGCAGGCTGGAAAACAGGCTCCCGGGGCTGGGGGCTGCGGCAAGGCTCGTCTGTCAGATTCCCTCCTGGAGCCTGGAGCCTGGCAGCCCCATATCCTCAGCTCCTTCCATGCTGAGACCTGTGAGTACAAGGGCATGTGTGTATGGGGACACACAGGCACACACATGTGGGGCCAGTGGGGGCTCTTCAGACAACACCCGCAGACACCCATGTAGACCCAGATACAGCTGCATACTAGTGCATGTGCACTGGTGCCAACAGGTACATGGTTACATACACTTACAGACATCAACTTTATGTGCACATGAGTGCATGCTGGACACATAAATACATGTGCATGCTCTTGCATACATTATACACAGACTCACACTTGCATAACAATCCTGACATGCTCACACAAGCAAATCCAGTTGCATACCCACATATACACAGATACAAACCTGTACAAGTGGTATACAGTCATGTGTACACACCTCCACGCAGGCCCATTTTCAAGGACCTGCATACATGCACACACCGCTGCACACACAGTACAGCACGCTCACATGGTACCTGCTGCTGTCAGGACTTAGCAATCATGAATCCATCTGACAACCACAGATTTCCAGCACTAACAGGCTGGCTCAGCCTGCCTTCCCTTTCCCCTCCCCCAGCCTCATGACAGACAGGCAGCCCAAGTTCTTGCCAAACTCACACCTGCCTTGGGCTTCCCACCCCTGGGGGGTCCCCAGATCCTTGATTAACCCCTTCACTAATTGGCCACCAGTCCCTTGACTTTGCTGCAGGCCTTCTTGGGAGGTGAGAGAAAGAGGCTGCAAATTGGCCAAGCAGGATGGGTCTAGGGAATTGTGAGCACATGGGGGTGAGAGCAGGGGTACTGTGGAGTCAGGCAAAGCATACCATACACCAGGTTTGGGGGGACACTGACATTGTGCTCTCTTGGGAAGACAGTGTTATGATTCATGTGCATTTACATAAAGCTATTCCTGCACACACATGTATACCCTCACCACCCATGTGTAGCCATGTTTCACCCCTCAGCACACCAGTGCACCATGGATGCCCCATGGATGCAAGCAAAACTTTAAACGTGCACTAAGTCTGCTGTCAGATAACTATATACTGCACACATGTAAATCCACATACACAGGGGCTACAGGTGTAACTCAGTGGTAAGCACATGCTTAACCATGTACAAAGCTCAATCAAATAAATACATGAAAAAAAAGACACACAAACAACAGCACATTCATGGACACATGTGTACAGGCTTGCAAACACACCCTCATATATGTGATACATGTTTATGGATAGCCTAAGTGTACTTGTAGGCATGCATGCAGACATCCATCCACAGGTAAGTGCACACACATGGAATCCACACACACTCATCACACATGTATGTACATATCTTTTTTTTTTGGTGGAACCGGGGATTGAACTCAGGCCCTTGCGCTTGCCAGGCAAGTGCTTGTTCCACTGAGCCATCTTCCCGGCCCTGCATGTATGTACATATCTTGATGAACAAGTTACTGACCACAGCTTGGGAGAAACCTTTTTAGCCTGCTTTTGGCTTTGTGTAAAAGAAAGTAGAGGTAGCCAGGTGTAGTGGTTAATGCTACACTCCTTGCACTGCAGGAGGCTTAGGCAGGAGAATTTA